TGATTGTGGATACACTCCAAATTTTCCTTGAAAACCTTATTTCTAGGCTCTTCCATTTTACTTTTCAAAAGCAAATGTGTCTGGAATTCAAAAAGCAAGTCTTCCCAAATGTCAGGCAATATTGTTCAGCCTTTATTTTAGTTCTCCTTGCAGCTCAGAACTCGGTAATTCTTTAAAATGCTTTTAAATCCTTCATTACTAAACAAGAAATATTTGTCTTTTTGTGATCCTTTTTTTGTTGTTGTTGTCCATCCATCTTAATATTGATTTGCTGTATCATGATATTAAACTGAATCCAGGCTGAGTCATAGTAGGGCTGCATTCATTCCTCAGTTAAGAATGTTTTATTTAAATCACAATTTGTTAATCAGTAAACAGTGATGGCACTTACACTACATGCTAAGGTACACCATGGTTTACAAACCCAGATAGCTGAGTTCACACACTGCATATATCAGAACCAAACATTGTGGGCTTTGCATGCTATAATGCACCCTAAATGGACCTTAAATCATCACTAAGTCCCACTGATGTTAGTAAATGTACCCTGAATAAGATTTATTCTAAAGCCAACTGAGCTGCCCTGAATTTTCTTTTTCTTTTTTTCTGTAAGCTGCCTAGAGAAGAGTGACCAACATGTATAAATACTAACCTCCCTTCTCTTTCTGTAACTGCAGCATCTACATGTTTGCTGTGTTTACTTATTTCATTTAACAAACTTTGTCAAGCACCCCAATTTGAGCTGTTTACAACTGTCTGTCTGCGGCCAGTTTCCAAATCTATCTGTTTCCTCCTTAAAATGAATACGATTAAATTAGGTGGCGTTTTGTTCTGATGTTTTGCTTGCTGTAGCAAGCAGCAACATTAAAACGAAAGCATTGTAGCCTCAAACCCCATGTCAAATCATTGGACATCTGCAGAAGTCCTAGCTTAATCTAACACTGTGCCGTGGAACAAACTTTCAGGATGTGTTTTCTTACACAAACCCAAGAGGAAGCTTTGCAACAGAGGAACAATAGTGCTGGTGGTTGAGGTTTGCTAAAAAAAACTAATCCTCTGATTTGCCTTGTAAAAG